GGAGGTGTGGGCAGGGGCTGCTAGGCCGTGGGCAGTCAACAGGTAAAGGGGCCCTCACAGGAGCACTCCCTCCCTCCTCTTTTATTCCATGCTTACTTACCTAAGCAACTTACAGAAGGCAAGAACTTAAATTCAGATTTCTGAAAAATGCCATCTCACTTGGAAATTTTTAAAGCTTTTCTAAAAAGGGGTTACTAGTACTAATAAAAAGATAATTACCCCTCAGTTAATTCTCGATTTTACAAGCACATCTAAAAACACAACATACTGCATGGCAGTTAACAGGCAGTTCCTCCTAGCCTGCTACACGTGCGCTCCAGGGTCAAGGACACAAAGGCAGCAGGCAAAGCCAGACCGACAGCACCGCTGCATCAGAAGATGCTCCGTCAACATACCTCCAGAAGGCGCACCAGTGAAGAGGGGGAAACTGTCGAAGGAGACACACAACTCAGTTTCAACCTAGAGCAAAACAATTCGACAGCTTTTAAAGATTCTTCACAATAACCTGTTACGTTTTTTTGCCGACCATGCCTTCCCCTCCAGGAATTTTCACAAGCACACAGTGTTAATTTTACAGCAAAATACTGTGTAGTGGGCTTACAAAAAAATCTTTAGGCACAGTTGGCAGAAACATATAGTATACACTATTTGATTTAAAATGCGATGCAATTTATTCTGTTATTTTTTTAAGGTGAATAGAGTGGTGGGAGGACAAATAATAGACTACAGTAAATTCAGTTCTGCTCATTTTATTGAAGTCAACCAAGCACCCACTACTTCAAAAATGGGTTTTCCTGTCTCAGTATGATAAAAAGGTCAAGAATAGATAAATACAGATAAAATAATCTCTTGATAGTTCATTAAAACTTACTCTAACACATATTCTACTTCCTAGCATCTGTTCTCCCACTAATTTAAACGTGAAAACCTTGAAAGACACTCTGATTACTTCATAATAAAGATTAATTACTTAAAATACATTTCCCTGGCTTTAAAATGCCTTAGGCTTTTCAAAGTACTTTTCCATCCGTTCCCATGTTAGAGAGGCACTGAGGCCACAAATACCCATCTACATTTGGTTTTGGAAAAAAGATTTTCATGTACATATTTTGTCCAAATATTACTATTTGTTTCATGAAAGTCAGGACTAAGACTTTAGTAGAGTGTAAATTTTAAGCCAATGAATAAACAGTTGGCTCAGAAAAACATTAAATTGACATGCAAAGCATGCGTTGCTCTGCCAGAGACTAAAAATAAAAGCAGCTTCTGCCAACATGGAAAAACTTGAATCGTTTCAAGTGGCCCCTGAATTTGATGACTAGGTTTTCATGAAGTTAATTTTCCAAAACAATGACTGATATTATGTCACCTAATTCCCCAATTTTTATTATCTCTTAAAAAAAATACCCCACAATTGCCATCTTATGTAAGCATCAACGTCATACAAAATGTCTTATAGCCAGCAGAACATGTGTTTCTAAAAAGGTGATATATTTACCTAACAAATGAAAATTTAGACATTTTGAAAATTCTATCTCCATGTTTTAAGAACTAAAATATTCCTATCAGAATAACAAATTAAATTCATTAAAATATTCAACAGATAATATTTTAGACAATAGCTGTCAAAGAAATCAGTAGATTTTAAATGCGAAGTGGTTATTCAAAGTTCAGATAATAATTTATTCCGGTCCTCAGCCTGCCTCTCCCATATCTGCCTGTGTCAAAAATGAAGCGTGTTTAAAATATGGAGTTGGAGATTTACAATCAGTTGCAGAAACCTGTTTAGCTCTTGATTTACAGTCTTGGCGAGGTATTTAACTGTCATCAGAACTAATTATAGCAAACCTGAGATTATATATTCAAACTCTCCTTTTGGTGAAAGAAACAGAATGTTCTGCTGAAAATCAGAAACCCCCTGAGGGCTCCCACCCGAGAATGCACCACCAGCTCAGCTCCATAGAGCCAGCACTAAAAAGCTCGAAATTACTGCTCTGGAGTAAGTTGTTTTAGCCTGAAGCACTTAAAGCAGTACATCACAGTTCCATGGACGCCATACCGATGGCCCGAAATGTATTCACCTCAGTTGGCAGTAACTGACGTCTGCATTACTAAGCTCATCCGGGCATTTTGGTGGTAGTACACTTACATGCCACAGCTTCGGGGACTCAAGTTATCACCGATCCGTAAAGAATGCTTATTTCACTGTGGCCAGAATGGGGAGGACACCCTAAGCAACACTGCCAGTCTCGGAATAACGTCCTCACATTACTGCTTTAATGAATAAAATGTCAAATTCACATTAAAGCTGATGAAACAAAACTTGCATGAAACGATGGGCCCGCAGGGCCAACCCAAGACAGCCAGTGTCTTCCATGCCCTCATTCCCTCCTCTCGCCCCCGACTCGTAACGTCCTCAACTCTTCCTGCTGTATCAGAACGTTTTGAAGCTTTGCACAAGCCATGACTCCCCTTATCAAGTGAGTGACATGCTCCCCTCTACGTGAGCACCCTGAGGAGGGCACCACGGGGCATCGCTGGCACCGGAGCAGACTGAAGAAGGGCTTCAGTGGCCGGCCTTCTGGTCAGGGGCTCTCAAGTAACAAGGCCTCAGCCTGAGAAGAGTGAAGTGTGCCTGCAAGGGTCACGCAACACTGGAAGACATGGAAACGGGGAAAAGAAAGAGTGCGTCAGAGGCCAAGACCCTATCTACCCACCTGCTCAAAGATGACACACTCAACGTTTCAGAGGAACACCAGATTCTGTGGTGGATTTTCCCCCCCACAGTGGTTTTAGGGGAAAGGCTCTCATACTCTAAGTCTGTCTTCACCTATAGGAGTCTGAAATGGGATGTTCTAGGGAAGCAATACATAGTTACATCAATAAAACAGAACAAGAAATATTAAATCACAAAAAAATAAAAGACTGTATGACATTCAGCCCGAGCACCTTTGACGATGAATTCTGTAAGTAGATAAATAATCTCCTAAAATCTTATTTTCTCGGTCCTGGCTGTTCTCAATAAAGGGCAAACAAGATGAGTTTTAGGGAGTTCTGATGGCACAGTCTCTAAGGCATCTGACTGCTAACCAGAAGGCTGGTGGTTCAAACCCACCAGCCACTCTACAGAAGGAAGATGGGGTAATCTACTTCTGTAAAGATGTGCTGCCTGAGAAACCCAATGGTGGTCACTATGAGTCAGAATCGACTCGATGGCAGTGGGTTTTTTTTTTATTGGTGGCACAATGGGTAAGGCACTTGGCTACTAACCAGAAAGTCGGCGATTCAAACCCACCAGCTACTCTGCACAAAGAAGATGAGGCAACCTATTTCCATAAAGATTTACAGCCTTGAAAACCCAATGGAGGTTTCTATGAGTCAGAATTGACTCAGTGGCAGTGGGTCTGGTTTTTGGAAGACGAATTTTGCTCTCTTAAATAGTAACTATTTAATCACTTATTCTAGAAGATAGAAACAATAGATACGTTACCATAAGCTAATATATGTTGTTACTATTATATAAGTCTAAAAATAACAAACTAATAATTATAATGATTATAATCAGGGTCATTTTACCTGTTCCTGAATTTGTATTATCCACCCAGACAGAGTTCCTTTTCAACAGATCAAATGGAACCCTTGGTGAAGGTGGGGGAGGGGAGATGCCGGGATGGGAACCACCAGGAGCAGCCCAAACGCCGGGCCTGACAGAGCTACGCAACATCTGCCTTCAGTTTTGTCTGTTGCTTGTTACAATTTCTCAGCGCCCCTCCTAGTTAGGATTCTGAAATGCATATCTAATGAAACCGACTTCCCACGGTACCAACCCTTTCTTTGTCTTGATTCAATCAATCTTATAAGGAGTAACAGGAAGATGAGTAAAAACAATCAAGCCATGTTCTTAGAAGGTTCAGAGTGATGATAATGCCCACAGTCATGTCGTCTGATACAATTACCATTTTCTCTCCTCAGAACTGTTGTTGTTGTTATGTGCCGTCGAGTCAGACTCGACTCACAGCGACCCCTCCTTGGGTTTCCAAGGCAGTATCACTACGGAAGTAGATTGCCCAACCTTCCAAGGAGTGGCTGGTGGGTTCGAACCACCGGCTTCTGGTTAGCAGTCAAGTGCCTTAGGCACTACACCACCAGAGCTCCTAGTCCATGATTTAAAGAATGACGTTACTGAGAGATCAGGAGACATATCCAGGTAGAGCTGAATTTAGATCACCCTCCAAATACCAGTCTACAACGGTTTTTATTGAACTACTACTTTATCTGAAGGTATACAACCACTGCTTTTCCTGTATGACTGTGAAATACCACCTCTGCTGTCTCCCAATAAAGAGCCACTAATGCTTTTTTGACGAAAGAGGGGGAGCCCTTCAACGAGATCGATTGACACGGTGGCTGCGATGATGGGCTCAAGTATAGCAGGGATCATGGAGCTGGCGCGGGATCGGGCGGTGTTTCGTTCTGCTGTGCATGGGTCGCTATGAGTCGGAAATGACTCGACGGCACCTAACAACAACAATGCCTTTATAACACTGAGTAACTAAAGTCATCAGTCAAAGACAGGGCCAAGTGAGACTTCCTCAGCACTTATGACCAATTAATTACCAACAAAAAGCAATCTTTAAAATCAAATCCAGAATAAATACAGGGAGACCGAGTCCAGACAAGAAAATACAAGGAGCTCACTGGCTGTGCTACACCAAATGGATAAAAAGTGACTTTATACCAAGGTTCAACATAAACAACTGCATGACTCCTGTCACTTCTTCCTGTGTGTGCGCTTAGATTTCTTCTACCCACAGCAGACTGCTCTGCTCAATGGGATAAGCTCTTCAGGAAAAGAGTGAGAAGGTTTGATAATCAACCCCCAAATGTTGTTTCGTTTTCCTACTTCTATCAGTTTCTTGACATATTCAGCATAAGCAAGAGAATCTTCTCAGCAAATCGAGTGCTTGGAGTCCAGAATGATCTTGAGGAACTCTGGCAAGTTACATATATCCCATGTTGCTTTTGGTTTCCCATCTCTTCTTTGCTTCAAATCTAAAATGAAAAGCATAAAAAATCTCCATTTATTTTTAAAATAATTACTTTTGCTAAAGTAGCATTTTAGCAAGTACCCAAAGTCAAGCAAACTTCAATGTTTTCCACATATACTCCACTGGTTACAAACAGGATGAAGAAATGCCTCGGTATTTGTAATCTGATAATCATCCAAAGATACAAAGAACAAAATGAATCAAACTTACACACAAACTGTATCAGCAGGATCCTGTAAGCTAGAAGAATTACTAATAAAATTCTTAAACTTACCCCCACGCCAGTTTCTTCTTTTTCCGAACAGCCTGTGAATTCTCTGCATCCTTTTTGGCTTTTACAAAGTTGTGGCAGGAAATAGCTTTGGCAATTTTAACACCAAGCTAAGCATTGCAAAGGAGAAAAAGGAAAAAACCGAAAATTAATCTTCCAGCCAATATAAAAATTACAGTACAGATACTTGAGAGCCTGTGGGTAAGAAAGCCAGTCTAAAAGTCAGAAATTCTTATGATAGGGTCCCTCACACATCGAAGTGTAAGGAAGACATAGAAATGGCCCCCATTTCCCCTGCCTCCTGGCAGACCCTTCACCCTGCTGTACCAGTCTCCCACAGCAATCCTTCTCAAAGTGAGGTCCCTGAGCGTCTGCAAAGGTAGTAATGAGGCCCCTGCAGCATGTCAGTGGGCCGAACAGGAATTCACCCCTGATAAGCCTGCACAGACGACACAGACGTCAAGTGGCTTTGCTCTGGGCTAGAATTACAGCAGCTCGTATGGTCATACCCGTTATCTCATGCCTATCAGGAGCTCTGATTGGCAGTTAAAGATGTGATTAATAAAACATGGAAAGCTAATGATGCCTTCATAAATGCACTTTGCAAGATGGGCACTACTTCCAATTCACTGACAGAAAAAGGAATGAAAGAGGTGCTAAGGGGTAATGGCTAGGCACCAAGCCCACAGCACCCATAGGTGGCCTCTGTCAGTCCCTCTGTCCATGCTCCTCCTTACACCCATCTGCCAGTCCTATAGGTCCATGCAAAATGAATGCCCTCTCCTGGAAGTCTTTGCTAACTCAAACCCGAATCATCTTTGCTCTCTGCATTCCGACAGCCCATCAGCTTCCACGCCAGCACCTCACAGCTCTCATACTTTGCTCTGCAGAGCTCTGGCTGCCCAGCCGCTTCTCCGCAGGTTTCTCCAGCACAGGCCTGATGCAACCGGCTTGTCGTTGAGGGCTTGTTTTTACAGTGTCCACCATGCAGGAGGCTCAAAGTATCTGTTAAGGATGCAACTTAAACAACAAAGGCTACACGTCTCCTCCTGGTGGCCCCTGCCTTTTCTGTCCCGGTGCTACAGGACAGGTAGACTTGTGGGAGAGAAGACATGACCTGGAAGCCGCCCTCCAGTCAACGTATGAAAGCCCAGGTTGTAGGATCTGCTTACCAACAGTGAGGCAGGCAGGAGGTTAGGAGCACACAGGTAAGGTAAGAAGAAGAAGCTGGTGGGCTTGACATTTCTTTCAGCCACCTTGAAGAGTGAGTTCTTTTAAAGGGGAAAAAGACAAGCAGGAATCAAGCACTGACTAGAGTTCATTGATTGGAGCAAAACCGGACCTGATTTTTCAGCCCAGAAAGAATAGAGATGACAAATGGATGCAGCCTGACAATTACATCAAGATGTTGAACTGGTCAACACCAACAGGAAAGCCACTAAAGAAAGAAGGATTAATTCTGACTTGTGAGACCCTGCTTGAGAAAGGAGACCAACTTCAGTGTCCTTTCAAAACTCTAAGCCAATGTTAGCAGCCCTGCTGTCACTGTTACCTTTCTTCATAAGGACAATATTCATTCAATAAATAGCCCCAAGGGCACAAGTGCATTTGTTTGCCAGGCGCTGCTCTGGGTGCCAGATCGACAGCACTGAACAAAACAGGGTTTCCTTTCAAACTGGGGGACTGCAGGTGACCGCTTCAATACTGGCCTTGCTCTTTTGGTTCTCTTTTCATCACTGGTTCTTAAATATAGAAAAGCTAAGCTAAGTCAAGAATAACAAAAGGCTAAGGAGAAAATGAAACTCTGAAAGGATGTTGTGGCATGATTTCTCATTAAGATCGATTTCCTAGCCACTGTCCATTTGTCAAAAAATGTAAAAACTCAAGTTAGCACCTCTCAGACTGGCCTGGTGCACGCCGCAGTATCACACAAAGCCCCCAACCTCACTGGCTCCACTTTCCCTTTTTGTTTCAAGTGACATCTACTCTGGACTGGCCGAGCTCCCCTCCGGCCCGTGGTGCCAGCATCTTGCCGTGTGGCTTTCGGGTTCACAGTGGCAGAGGATGAGTGAGCTGGGCTGAAATGCTTTAGAACACAAATGCAGATACATCCTCTCTGCTCACAGCCCACTGGTCAGAACTACTCACATGGCTCCATCTAACTGTGTGGTGTGTGGGGGGGGGTCTGGGAAATACAGGGGACAGTGGGATATTAGGTGAGCAGCACATGCCTCTATTAGCATGTCATAAAGCGTCACTCCATATGTGGTTTAAGATGTGCACTACCTTTCCGCACACTTATGTGAGACTGAGTCTCTCCTCATCCCTAGCCACCAGACAAGATAAAATACAAAAATCTATTTTTCCATTAAGTCCATTCCTATGCATCATATGTCGACTGCAAAGCTGTTATATGATATGGTGTCACCAAGTCCCTATAAATAATGTGCCTCCCACATACACAAAGAGCCACTCAGCTAGTAGATCTTGTATTTAAACTGAGCCAACACTTTGTTCATCAAACAAAAATGAGCCGACCATGTTTGCCATGTAACCATTAACCAGCCGTTCTATACAATTATTTTCAAACTGTTGTAAATTAAGATAGACAGTGAGACCTGAGAAAATTGAATTTCACCAGGACCGCCTTGTCTTTCCAAGTCTCGCAAGTTTTCCACCTTTGACAGGGTAGTCTTACCACTCTTCTATGGCTCATTTTTCAGACAATACTTGAGTTTTCCTGCTCTGAGAGGTTTCCGCCTTACACAGGTTCCAGCTTTCACAGGTTTGACTGAGGTCTTCATCTCTACCTTACTGAAACGTCCCAATACAGGTTTTCTGGGTTGGAGACAGACAAAGCAAGGGCACCTGAACGTCTGGAAGTAAATGGGCCTCTTCATCCCAACATGGTTGGGGCGGAGAACCGCTAGCTCCCTAGCAGTGTGAACCCAAAGCAACATAAGCAGCACCCCAGCAGAGTCAGAGCACACGGTCCTTAAGACACAGCCTGAACCTGTGAGAAGCAACTGATTACCACGCATTCTGCAAGTACTCACATGAGAGGGCGCCATCATTTTGTGAACTAAGTAAATGGAATAGACGACACAGGCTGCACTTTCAGACGGACCTGCTGCTGTCAGAGGCATGCTTTCTAACTGTATTTCTACCTTGGGTTAGGCTACATGGAATGTTCTCCAACGGATAAACATTAACCAAGCCTGGTCCACACACTTCACAGGAAAAACCTTTTCACTTGTACTGACGGTGAAAAGTCACATCCTCTGAAGCGTCCTTCACATGCTTAAAACGAACGTGTCTCACTTATGAGGAAAGAAAAAAGGATGGAAAGACTTTGTTCATTCGATGGGTAAGAGGGCCTTCTACAGAGGAGACAGTTGAGAAAAAATGGTTTTCACGGGGAAGACGCCTAATCCAAGTTCCCAAACAGGAAAGAACATCAGGCTGGGCTTCAGCATTACAAACAAACAGCACGGGTCGCCAAGAGCATCCCTTCGCTCCTGTCAAAAAGCAAGCTGCATCTCCATGCCCTATGGAAACATCACAAAAGCTTGGGCAATGGTTTTTATGTTAAAAAACCGTCTCGGGTCATCAGATAACTATAGCAACACAAGGTGGAAAGAAATTTCTTAAAATGAGAAAAGATATATACAGAATTTTTTGTATGTGTAGGCAAAGTATCAGCATTTTCCATATAGAACATCCAATATTTTGCTGCATTTTAATTAAGGTGTCTAAACATTATCACAAAGAACTGCAAATTGGTCAGAGCGTGCGGGAAGGAAAATTAAGCTCTAAAGGCTTTTTATCACCATATTTCAGGAACCAAGGGTGTAAAATGTTCTAATTTGGGATATATTAAAAGCCATAAAAGGTCTTTCAAAAAGATTAATGGTACTTTGCTTGGATTTAAGATAAGGGCTTTAGCTGGTTGGAAAAGCAGGGCCCTGGCTGGACCCTTGAGGCATTCATCTTTACAGCCACTTGGAAGATCTGTGAAAGCGGCTGCATAACCTCCAGCAAATGCAGGGCGACATTTTCTTAATTCCTTTCAATTTTACAGGTTTAGTGCGTGTAAATCATATTGGGCTGTAAGAGAGACATAATGGCACATCCCTGTAATACAGTACAGATTTTTAAAAGACAAACTTTCAAAATAAAGTTAGTTTTTCTCGCAAAATCGTGCCAGGATAAAGTCCACTGATAATCATCACCTGAAGCATCTGAGTCAAAACAGCTCAATCCAGCAGAACTGTCAACTTCTTATCCATTTCATAAAATATTTCACTCATCTCAAAATTACTAGCTTGTCACAGATTTATGAAGTTTTCCTCCCTTTTGAATACTTTGAAGGCACTTATTTAAAAATACCAATTATCATACTTTAACTTTTTATGGAATAATAGGTCTCTATGAAAAATATTTATGCCATTCCCTTTTGTTCTTTAATTAAATGAAAACAGATGTTTTCTGAAGTAAAGCGGAACCATTACCGGAGCACTTAAAGTGTTAAGGTCTTTAATTTTTATATCAGTTTGGTCGACAATTCCTGATTGTCTTTACTCAAGCTCAACATTAATGTCAAGCAAGTTACCTAGGAGACGAAAGAGATCAAAGAGACAAAACCCCTGCGATGTCTGATTAATCAAGCCTGCAAACAGCTTACTTCTTTCAGCCTGCATGCAAGTATGAAAATGAGATTCTGGGAGCCGAACACTGTGCAGATTTGTTCATTCTTATCAGAACAAAGCCAGCGGCAGCTTATTTCATGGATCATTGGCACTGTCATCAGCGCTACACAGAGCGGGTGACAGCTCCTCATTTTGAGGCTTGAACAAAATTAGCAAAAAGTCGGCACAAATTAGCCTCTCATCTTTTTAGTAATATGACATTATTCATTTACTTTTTATCCAATTTTTAATTTTTTCCTTGTCAGCTATCCCTTTCTAGTGTCTTTCGCATGGCACCATAAAATGCCTCCTAGAAAACAAGCAAAGAAACAGCCAAAGTTGAAATAACAGGCAAAGTTCAAAAAGCAAGAAAAAGCCCTTCTGCTGGCGGAGAGTGCTGCATTTCTTGGAACTTTCAAAAC